TTGTTTGGCGGGCCTGGGCTGGGGATTCGAACCCACCACCTTAGGTGTATGTGGCTGGCGCCTTAGCCGCTTGAGCCACAGGCGCCAAGCCCACCAAAATAAATTTTGATTCTAAGTTGCTGAAACTCACAAATCACAATGTTGCTTTTCTAACCAGATACAGAACAGCATATGCCCTACCAGGGGTGTCCAAACTTCTGGCTTCTCTGCGCCATACTGGAAGAGTTGTCTTGAGCCCCACATTAAGTATACAAGTACTGATGAACAAATGAATAGATCCATGCATAATTTTCATGATATCTGCCACCACAGAAAGCAGAAAAGTCCTCCTATAATCTGCATGAGGCCCTTCCAAAAAAAAAAAAAAAATCACTGCCTTCCAAAAGTGGTGAGCTTCAAGGCTTATTAACACTCTCTCGGCTAGTGCTTCAATCAAGGTCCTCTCTCGGGTGATTGCTGGGGTTTTGTAAAGCTTCAAGACACTCCTATAGTCGAAGCAAATAACCAGGCTGTTGGCTGTGTCCCGTTATGCCCTCACTCTGTACTTCCATGATCCCTTATGCTCCATCAGCTATCCTAACACAGCCACATGCATGCTTTGGAGAATCACGTTTATAGTGGTGTTCCTACTCTGTGGCAAGTGCTATAACTGGATTTGGCCTTCAAGGGAGGAAGATGCTGGTTGGTATCAGGAGCATGGTACTCTGACATTGCCATATCTTTGATCCACTTGACTCCCTGTACAATCTGACAGCCAATGGAGCCACCCTTCACTCATGAGGATACATTATTTGGGCCCAAAGACATCATCTCCATATATAGCCAGGGCCTTGTCCTGCTGCTCTTCTATGATACCTGGACTCTGAGGAGTTTCAGCAGGAATTTTCTGTACAGGAGCTTGCTGGATATCTTCAACAAAGTGTCTGGATTATTGCATGCTAGTGTACAGATATGTAACTAACTTTTGCATGTTGCTTTTTACTTTACAATCCTGGCCTAAGAGGGCAGTGGTCAAATTAGGATAAAGAGCATGTTATCTGAGCAAGAAAAATCTGATTGCAATGGTGATGCTAACTTCATGCCTTCCTAGGCTTGTATTCCAACAATTTACCTAAACACATTGGCCTCATCAGACTTTCATAAGGAGATCCGTTATAAAGTATTACATAACTTGCTAAGGAATAAGTATATTTATGTACTTTAATTGAGGTACACAATGAAAATGAGTGTCTGATACATTGTAAAAGATACTTAAGCATTCAGAAATAATAAAGGCAAAAACAAGTCTAGAAGCTCCAGAGTTTGTTTACCCTCACAAGGCTGAGTCTTTTCTTTTTTGAGATAGAGTCTCAGACTCACTCTGTTGCCCAGGCTAAAGTGCTGTTGTGTGAGCCTAGATCACAGCAACCTCAAACTTCTGAGCTCACCACTGATCCTCCAACCTAAGGCTCCCAGAGTGCTAGGATTACAGGCATGAGCCACCTCGCCCAGACACAAGGCCAAGTCTTACATGGTTGAAGATAAACATGTCACATATCTGCAATATGAGATAATCCTCCTCGATGATTATGAAAGATCAAGATGAATACAAGGGCATTCTGTAAAAATTGTTAGTCCTAGAACATCATTAATGAAAAAAAGTAATCTTTAATAAAAAAAGAAACTGGTAGAAGAGAACATATTCCAAATCATAAAAAACACACAAATTTCCCTTCTTCTCAATAATGTGACTCACTGGTATTTCTCATTAATTAGGTTTACCTCTACTCTATGCCTTCTCCCTTGGTAAGAACTACTGATTACCAACAATAGAACTAAGTTTACCTTCCACTGCACCCAATACACAAAAATGACTTCCTTCCTTGAATAGAAATGAATAAAAAATTCTTCTGAGTACTCTAACTAATAAAACCACACAATCATTTATGATTTGTGGTCATAATTATTACCACAATTTATTATACCCTTTTGGACAATAGTTATGGTCTTTAGCAAGAAGGCACACACAACAGTATGATTTAATTTTGATATTGTGAGTACATGACAAATTACTATCAAGATAAAAGTTGTAACTATATAAGCATGAAAAGTAAAATTTACACAAGAAAAAAATTCCTGATATTGTATGCACATGGGGTAATACTGACTTCACAATGTTTTACAAATAACTTGCTAAAATTATAAACGACCATATCCAAGAGTGAAAACAGTTCATAAAATATTTCTAAGAAACATGCATAAAAACCTTGCTTGAATAAAAAATTCATATTGTTTTTCATCACATACAATCAAACATATCTGAAAATAAACTGAGATATTACATTCAGCTGTGACAGGAAATACCCACAGTCTTAAAGATAAGAAGATGCTTATTCTTACAAGAAAGTACAGGGTGAAACCAGTCACTGCACAGGAACAAGCTCCCATCTAGTTGGTTTTGATGGCAGCATTGTAGCTGTCATGCTCAATCAAGAACACAGTCACTACTGGTATGAACAAAAGTGCTTACTATACAAATTAGACCTAATATCAAATCAATTTACAGACTAGGTGAGTTAAGTATTGGAGAATATATTCCCAATCACAATAGTCTAAATTGGTTGCCTAGTACACAACCACAGATAATGTCTGGAGGCAAACAAGAGTGCAGATGGATGTTCAGTGCAGGGCTAGGCATGGTGGTACACACCTGTAATCCTAGCAACTCAAGAGACTGAAACAGGAGGATCACTTGAGGCCAGGAGTTTGAGAATACTCAGTCTGGGGCTTCTGAAGACATGTACCTCCAAGAAAATGGAAGTCAAGTAGTTTAAGAATACTCTTGATTGGCAAGCCAAAGAATAATGGGCTGCAAGCAGGTGTTTGCACAGCCTGCATGAATCTGGCTGTCTCCCTGGATGGTGTCTCCAAACTGTGACTAATGCTTTCTTCACTTCTGCCTTTCAAATCTCATGGAAGATAGTTACTGGTGAACTGTACCAAGGAATCACAAATGCAATAGACTATGGGAAATCTAGTTCCTAACACTACCAACACAGACATAAGACAATCCAAAGATCCAACTCTCACTCTAGAGTTTACTATTCTATCACAAGTCTCTCTTAATTCAAAGCCAATTATCTCATAGGGTCTTTCTATGCTGTGAATATTTTCATGCATTCAAAAGAAACTGAGAGGACAGAAGACTTTTCTAAATTTCTTACTTTCATAGAGTTTCTCTCAGTGTGACTCCATTCATGCTTATAAAAGGAACTGAGACAACTGAAGGGCTAGGATTAGGGTTCTCAAAGGGTTTTTCTGCAGTATGAGTTCTTTCATGTATTCGAAAGTAAGTGGATCGACTGAAGGCTTTCCCACATTGCTTACACTCATAGGGTTTCTCTCCAGTATGAGTTCTTTCATGTATTCGAAAGTAACTGGACCGACTAAAGGCTTTCCCACATTTTGTACATTTATAGGGTTTCTCTCCTGTGTGAATTCGTTCATGTTTCCGAAAGGAACTGGAACAACTGAAGGCTTTTCCACATTCCTTACATTCATAGGGTTTCTCTCCAGTGTGCGTTCTTTCATGTATTCGAAATGAACTAGGAAAATCAAAGGCTTTGCCACATACCTTACACTTATAAGGTCCATTGCCAGTGTGCTTTATCATGTGTCTTCGAACACTTGCAAGACAAGTCAAGGCCTTCCCACATTCCTTACATTCAAAAAGTTTCTCTCCTGTGTGAGTCCTTTCATGGCTTCGAACAGAACTGGCACATCTAAAGGCTTTACCACAATGTTTACATTCGTAAGGTTTCTCTCCAGTGTGAGTCCTTTCATGTATTCGAATGTACTTGGAACAACTGAAGGCCTTTCCACATTGCTTGCATTCATAGGGTTTATCTCCAGTATGAGTCCTTTCATGTATTCGGATGTAACTGGAACAACTGAAGGCTTTACCACATTGCTTGCATTCATAGGGTTTCTCTCCAGTGTGACTTCTTTCATGTATCCGAAATAAACTGGGATAGTCAAAGGCTTTCCCACACACCTTACATTTATAAGGTACACCTCCATTGTGTGTAATCATGTGTCTTCTGATGCTTACAAGGGAAATGAAGGTTTCTCCACATTCCTTACAATCATAGGGTTTCCCTCCAGACTGAGTCCTTTCACGTACTGGAAAGGAGTGGTGATAATTGAGGGCTCTTTCACGTTGCTTACGTTTATATGGCTTCTTTCCATATTCCTGATACTCATTTGGTTTGGTCCCACTGTCAGCTCTGATGTGCCTATTAAGGGATGAATGACTCATGCCAACTTCTCCACACACACTGCTTCCAAATGGTTTTACTATAGGAGGAGTCTTCTTGTTCAGCATGTGATCTGGAATTTGGCTGAAGGTTTCTCCACATTGACTACCTTCTTTACTTTCATAGAGTCTTTCTAGAATATGACCCCTACAAAAAATAAGAAACACATTATTTGTGATGTGTTCATAAATGATTTTGTATTTATTAATAGGTACTGCACCTATATTCCTCTGGGAAAGTATAGATTTTATACCCTGCCTCAATTGTTTGAACATGAATAGACTAAGTACTGCAGGATGTCATGACCATACCTATTATTGAAAAATAACATTCAGGCCAGGCATAATGGCTCATGCCTGTAATCCTAGCACTTGGAGGCAGAGGTGGGAGGATCACTTGAGGCCAGGAATTCAAGACCAGCCTCAGCAAAAAAAAAAAATAATAATAATTAATTTAAAAAAAAAAAAAGACCAGCCTGCTTGGCATCTATAGCTCAGCGGCTAGGGTGCCAGCCACATACGCCAGGGCTGGTGGGTTCGAACCCAGCCCAGGCCTGCTAAACGACAATAGCAACTACCACAAAAAAATAGTTGGGTGTTGTGGTGGGCACCTATAGTCCCAGCTATTTGGGAGGCTGAGGCAAGACAATCACTTAAGCCCAAGAGTTGGAGGTTGGTATGAGCTGTGATGTCACAGCACTCTACTGAGGACGACATAATGAAAATGAAACTCTGTCTCAAAAAAAAAAAAAAAAAGACCAGCCTAAGCAACATAGTGAGACATCAATGCCGATGCTACAAAAAATAGAAAAATTAGCCAAGCATAGTGGTGCACTGCATGTATTTACAGCTATGTAGGAGGCTGAGACAGAAGAATCTCTTGAGCTCAGGAATTTAAGATTGCAGTGAGCTGCAATAATACCATAGCATCCTAGTCTGGAAGACAAAGTGAAACTCCATCTCAAAAAATAAAAAATATATATGTATACTTATATATTCATATGAGGTTTCTTAGTATTGTCTACCACTGAACTGTTTCACAAACACTAAACATCTGTATCTCACTTAACTTCAGATTTCTGAGAAAATTTTCCAATAAAAAATAAATGTGGGCTTGGCGCCTGTGGCTCAAGTGGCTAAGGCGCCAGCTATGTACACCCAAAGTGGTGGGTTCGAATCCAGCCTGGGCCCGCCAAACAACAATGACGGCTACAACCAAAAAATAGCCAGGTGTTGTGGTGGGCTACTGGGGAGGCTGAGGCAAGAGACTCGCTTAAGCCCAGGAGTTGGAGGTTGCTGTGAGCTATGATGCCACAGCACTCTACCCAGGGGGACAGCCTGAGGCTCCTGTCTCAAAAATAAATAAATAAATAAATAAAAATAAATATGAAGCTAGGCTTATCTGTTTTGTTTCCTTGTTTTTAAAAATATCTGTCCTTCTAGGCCTGGTGCAGCGGCTCACACCTATAGTCCTAGCACTCTAGGAGGCCAAGGCAGGTGGATCACTGGAGCTCAAGACCAGCATGAGCAACAGTGAGACCCTGTCTCTACTCAAAATAGAAAAAACTAGCTGGGCATTGTGACAGGTGCCTGTAGTCTAGCTAAACTCAGAGGCTGAGGCAAGAGGATCACTTGAACCCAAGAGTTTGAGGTTGCTGTGAGCTATGATGAAACCATGGCACTCTACCCCAGTGTAACAGAGTGAAACTCCATCTCAATAAATAAATAAATATCTGACCCTCTAAAATTCACTTGTGGAAATTTGCTTTCTTTTGTGAGTGCAAATTACCTTTGATTTCTCCTGGGATTTCTGTATTGATCTTCAATGTTCTCATCTTCCCATTTTTCTCCTAAAATGTAAACCCAGAAAATCATTACTAATTAGCACAAAATCATAGAAAATGACTACATTCTGTGTTCCTGACACACTGTGGCCATGCCTGATTTATGAACCAAAGTATTCCTTTTCCACATGCCAAATCACAGAACAGCCCTAATGAGCAAAATGCACTTGTTCTCTAATTCACTAAGTGAAAGAGTGCTGCCATCCTTACCTATAGAAGCCAGATTCCTGAAGGTTTCTTCCATCACATCTCGGTAAAGATTCTTTTGGGAAGGATCCAGCAAAGCCCACTCCTCCAGAGTGAAGTTCACAGCCACATCTTCAAAGACCAGTGGATCCTGAAACATCCCACATGTATAGAGGAGGGTGGATGAGACTGACAGCAGTGGAGATCTACACTCTATTCATAAGAAGTTCACATGCTGCTCTGTACTCCAAATATCTGTTGCATGATTTGGTGGTCACCATCTGCCTTCATTTCCCCCCACATAGCAATTCTGATGCTAGAATTGAAGTACTTGGTAAAATAACAAAAGAATGGGAGCATGCCTCTATTTGGTGAATAAAAGGGTACATGGGGCACCCCTAATGTCTCTTTGTACAATGGGGCTGTACCATCTGTCATAACAAAGATATAGTGACTAGTGGGCAGAGAAACAGTATTAAGAGTCCTGAGACTGTATCCTAAGAAATGCTTATTCACAAAGCAGTGAACAGCACAGGGAAAGGAAAAGCTAAATTGTAAATAATGGATTACTGAAGGCTGAGTGTGGACAAGTTTAAGATGTAAAAATCCAGAAGGCCCAGTCCCAACTAATTCATGAGGTTTACTGCCAGAAAGTCTATCAGTTCTCACAGGGAAAAATCAGAGAAAAATCAACATCCTATCTCCAGCAGAAGGAGAGGAAGAGTAGCCATTGTGAATAGGCCCAGAGAATTCTGTTCTTAAGTACTGCCTTCAAAACAAACTATTTCCCAGAAGCCTATCAACTGGGATGTTACCAGAACCAAATGTCCTGGGGAATATCTAATTCCATTCCCCTCTATCCTTCCTGCCTGAACAAACAAGGGGTAAGGACAAGAAGTACTTATAAAAATCACAATACCGGGAGGTGCCTGTGGCCCAAGGAGTAGGGCACCAGCCCCATATACCGGAGGTGGTGGGTTCAAACCCAGCCCCGGCCAAAAACTGCAACAACAACAACAAAAGTTAAATGAGTAAATAATTTTTTAAAAAGAGGCAAGAGAATCGCTTAAGCCTAGGAGTTGAAGGTTGCTGTGACCTGTGATGCCACAGCACTCTACCCAGGGTAACAGCATGAGACTCTGTCTCAAAAAAAAGCTAAAAAAAAAAATCACAATACAGGCTCAGCACCTGTGGCTCAAGTGGCTAAGGCACCAGCCACATACACCTAAGCTGGGGGGTTCAAATCCAGCCCGGGCCTGCCAAATAATAATGACGGCTGCAAGCAAAAAATAGCCGGGCGTTGTGGCAGGTGCCTGTAGTCCCAGCTACTTGGGAAGCAGAGACAGGAGAATTGCTTGAGCCCAGGAATTGGAGATTGCTGTGAGCTGTG